AGGCTGCTTTAATGTGACAAATACATAACTCTCAAGATTTATTCAGGTCAGATGTTTAAGTGTTGCAGTAAATGTTCCATCTCAGCTTTCTGATGGATCTGAAGCAGTGTACAGTCAATTGAACCCCACTCTTGAACACATCCTGAAAATAATGTAAATATAGGATTTTTTCTTTTGAGTAGCTGGTATAAAAATACTTTTGGAAAAACATATTGGATTTATTTAGATTATTCTTCAATAATATTTCTGAAGAATAGAAACTATGACAGAGATAACAAATCCACCAAATTAAGGTGGGGGTCATTATTAAGGTTTCTCTGGAAGAAATTCAAATCAAAATGTCTTTGAGGCTGACTTTAGGTGGTGTAAGAATAAGGACGACTAAGAGCCCTATTGCAAGGGAAGGCAAGGAGAACCATCAAAGAAGACACAGGCATAAGAATTTTCCTATTGAAATGTTGTTGCATATAATTGTGGACTCCCTCTGATGACCACTGCAGTCTTCAACAGAATTAACCTCAACAAAATTCTTTCACAAATTTAGTAGAAACACTCTTGGCATAAATCAGTGAAGAGGCTTAAATCTTGGAACAGAACAGGAGAGAAAACAAAACAGCAGGAGATGGGGGCAAATGACCACAGAAAACTACCCTATAGACTGTGGCAATGAACATGGATTAGGTTCCAAAAGTAAGTGGGATTTATCATAATCTCTGCATGAGAATCCAGTCAGATTTATAAGTAAATGTTTGCCATTTGCTTAAATAAAACAGTAAGGACATGGTGCATCAAATGCATAAATTTTTAGTGGTAGAGAGACAAAGAGGCCTATTATGAGTACGTGTAAGAAAAATTTCCTTAAATAAGGTATTATCTAGTTGAGACCTGAAATATGAAAAGGAAATGCCCATGTGTAGGAAATGTGGAGAGTGATGGTGCATGCCAAAGAAACTAGTTTATATTAGCCAGGAGTGGTGGCTCACACTTGTTATCCCAGCACTTTGGAAGGCGAATGCAGGTGGATCACCTGGGGTCAGGAGTTCGAGACCAGCCTGACCAACATGGTGAAACCGTTTCTCTATGACAAATACAAAAATTAGCCAGGCATAGTGTCAGGCACCTGTAATCCCAGCTACTTGGGAGGCTGAGGCAGGAGAATCACTTAAACACAGGAGGCGGAGGTTGCAGTGAGCCAAGACCATGCCGCTGCACTCCAGCCTGGGTGTCAGAGTGAGACTCCATCTCAAAAAAAAAAAAAAAAATGGCTTATGCAAAGTCTAGGTAGAAAAGAAAATATTCCATATTTAAAGAATGGAAATGACTTCTGATTATCAGATTTATAAAATATAAATATATGAATATGAATATAGAATTGTAGAATATAAAATATAGTATGTTGAAAAATAACAAATATACTAGAGTCAGACCTTGAAAAGCCCCTACTCTGTTCTGTGGAGTTGGGACTTGATCTTGAAGAAAACAGAGAGTTATTAAAGAATTTTCAAAAGGGACTTAATAATATTAGCAGTGTCACATTTACACCCAGATAAATAAGCCCTGGTTCATGGCTTCTTCTAATTATGACTCTCCTCATAGGGCAAGAAGTCCAAGGGGCCAAGGGCACAGGCCTGCTTGGAGCCAGTGTCCACCCTTCTATAGCACTCTCTGTGTATACAGTCCCCCAGTATACCATACCTAGATAATCCCAAACTGCTTCCATGGTCTCTGTGGCCCCTTCCCTGGGTCTGTCCCTTTATGGGTTGATCTCAACTGTGGGCTCACCTATAGGCTGGAATAAAGGGCCCTGAACAACTGTTTTGGGAAGGATGATAATGGACAATAATCGGACATACAGGTTGGAGTGGCTACATATGTGGGCCTGGGGCCCCTAGGAGTAATGAATGGAGCTTGAGGGCAGAGATGCTATGAGTCAGGATTCTCCAGAGAGACAGAACCAATAAGATAGATGATGATTGATTGATTGATTGATTGATGATAGATAGATAGAGACGAGAGGGGGTTATAAGGGGAATAGGCTCTTGTGATTATGAATACTGAGAAGTTCCATGACAGATCATCTGTAAGCGGGAGACTCTGGGGTGCTGGTAGCATGGCTCAATCCAAGAACAAACTCCTCAGAAACAGAGAAGCTGAATGTGTAATTCTCAGTCCAAGGCCACAGGACTGATAATCTTGTGGGGATGGGTGGTACATCCTGGAACCCAAAGAAAGGCCAGAGAGCCTGAAGTTCTGATGTCCAAGGGCAGGGGAAGAAGGGTTTACCAGCTCTGTTTTTCTTTTGTTTGTTTTTGCTTTATCTTGGACTCTAGCTAACTGGATGGTTCCTGCCCAAAATGAGTATAGATCTCCACCCTGACAATCCACTGACTCATACACCAATCTCTTCTAGAAACATTCTCACAGACACATACAGAAATAATGCTTCAGCAGTTCTGCAGATATTGCTTAATCTGGTCAATTTGACGCCTAAAATTATCCGTCACAGAAGCCATGCACTTCCATTTATGCTCTTGCCTGAGCTTCACTGATTTTAAAACTCGGTCTGATAATTGTATGTGTGCTTTAGAAGGATCACTCTGACTATGTTGCAGAGTCTGAAATGGAAGCAAAAAAAGACTAGTAAAAGCATAACATTTAACCATCTGTCGAAATATTATAAGAAAGAGTGGATATGGCCTAATCCAGGGTTGTGACAGTGAAAATGGAGATGATATGATAGAACTTGATGTTTGGTTAATGTGAAGGCTGAGATGGAGAGATAAACTAAAAATGATATCCAGATTTTCAATTCTTACAACTGGGTTGATTACAGCATATTGCATTTCAATAAATACAATCAGAGACAGAATAGTTTACCAGCAGATTACGTTGAATTCAATTTATATGCACTTATAGTTCCTGTGGGAATTAAGATGAAGATGCTCAATAGGGCATGCATTTTATGATAGAAAGAGCTATGTGCTGGAGACATAAATGTAGAACTTATTAGCAAATAGATAGTAACTGAAGTTCCTGGGGCGAATGAGATCATCTGAGGAGTGATAGGTGAAAAGAGAAGTGAGCTGAGGACAGATTTAAAGAGTAAAGCCAGCATTTAAGGGATAAGAATGCGAAAAGGGCTCCACTATTAAGTGCATTACCAAGGAAGTTAATTAAATAGGCTGAATAAAATGAGTCAATAAAATTAAATGCAGTTTGTGCGTTAATATCCAATACTACCTATTAATCCTGGAGGTATAGCCTGAAAATATGTTCAGCAATTTAAAAATAATGTTTAATTATATACAATACATGAGCCAATGTAAGGAACTCGCTTTTTACAAATAATATTCTGTAAAGGGGTATTTTTAGGGATCATAAAAATTTGCCTTATTTATTAATTATAATTGAAACTGAAGATATTGGTTATATGCACTATTATGGAATGTTTACATTTAATTGCATTAAAATTATTTAATTGACATACTCTTCTTTGAGTACCATTATGTCAGAGACCATGTTGAGAACATTTTACATAATCCCATTTAATCCTTATGAAAAACATAAAACAGCTACTGTTTCCACCTTTCATGAAGGAACAAACTAAAGTTTAGAGAAATGGAGTAACTTGGTCAATATCACAGAGCTCACAGATGACAGAGTTAGAGTTGAACTTGGGCTAATTAGTATCAAACATATTAACATTATAAATGCATTTTGGTATCAGAAAAGGAAGTACAAATAAATATACTCTTAGCAGTTGATTTGAATTACAATTTATTGTAATAAATAATTTTAGGACATCTGCATGTTGACTTTCTTATTATGTGTTCACTACTTTAAAAAATGAATCAACTTTAAATTCCTTATTTTTGCTACATGGTAAGTAACTAGAATGGAGTCAATCTTAATTGAAGTATTGAAATATCAGTTTATTTTGAAACAATATCCAATTCTTGACACCTGCACTATTCAAGTTATATAGAAAAACAAATTCGTAACTTGAAAAAATTCAGAAAAACAATTTGAATATGTGAACATTTCTAAAGAAAGAATATTTAAAATTCAGTTTGCTAATTAGATCATAGCTAACACATAATCATAAATAATTTTTTTAAGAGTCAGAGTCTCACTCTGTTGCCTGGAATGGTGCAATGGCATGATCACAGCTCCCCATAGCTTTGAACTCCTGAGCTCAAATGAAATTACCAACTCAAGTTCCCCAGTTCTTGGGACTATAGGCATGTACCACCGTGCCTTGCTAATTGTTTTATTTTTTTGTAGAGACAGGGTCTCACTGTGTTGTCCAGATAGGCCTGTAATTCCTGGTCTCAAGGGATTGTCTCACATCAGCCTCCTGAGTAGCTGGAATTATAGTCATCAGCCATTGTGCCTGGCTACTAATTTTAAACATCATAGACAGATTATTTTTAGGTAAAGTGATATAAGTAAAGTAAAATATATCAAGTAAAATACCTTATCTATTGATTACTACCATGCAAAGTGACACTGCTAAGGACTTGAAATATTCTAAGTTCATCCTCTTAAAATTATATGTATACTATTTATTTGTTTAACAGGATTTTTTCTTTTAGCATAAAAGTAAATTTTAGCATCATTCCTATTCAAATCATTAAAAATTCCTAGTGAGGCATAGCTAATGAAATATGGCATTATTCTTAATTACTATAATAACCTGTATTTCATATGCTATATTAAAGATAAAGATGAACTGTCCAAATGAGTTTGAGTTAGTTACATTATGAGGTTAGCATGTCATAAAGTTAGGTGTCAATACTGAGGAATGTAAGGTGGATAGACAATCTCAATAAATAAAGACCTTTCGAGAGTAAACCAATAGAAACTTAGGCAAGAAATAAAATACGCAATAGCGGAAAGAGGAAAATATTTACTTTCAGAAAATCAATTCAAAGAGATGCTCCATCTTTTTATAAATGCACATAAAACAACCAATTAAGATTGATATAGGATGGTGACGGTTCCGCGATGTTGACAAGGCCGCGTTGGGCGGTTCAGACTCAGGGTGATGGCAGGAGAGCTGGCTGACAAAAAAGACCGGGATGCATCACCTTCCAAGGAGGAAAGGAAGGGATCACGGACACCTGACAGAGAGCGGGATAGAGACCGGGACCGGAAGACTTCCCCATCTAAAGGTAGGAAGCGGCATCGTTCGAGGGATAGACGTCGAGGAGGCAGCCGTTCTCATTCTCGTTCCCGTTCCAAATCTACAGAAAGAGAACGACGGCACAAAGAACAAGAACGAGATAAGGAGCGGGATCGGAATAAAAAGGACTGAGATCGAGACAAGGATGGGCAGAGACGGGACAAGGACCGTAAACGATCCAGCTTATCTCCTGGCCGAGGAAAGGACTTTAAATCTCGGAAGGACAGAGAGTCTAAGAAGGATGAAGAGGATGAACGTGGTGATAAGAAGCCTAAGGCCCAGCCATTATCCCTGGAGGAACTTCTGGCCAAGAAAAAGGCTGAGGAAGAAGCTGAGGCTAAGCCCAAGTTTCTCTCCAAAGCAGAACGAGAGGCTGAGGCTCTAAAGCAATGGCAGCAGGAGGTGGAAGAGCGGCAGAAGATGCTTGAAGAAGAGAGGAAGAAAAGGAAACAGTTCCAAGGCTTGGGCAGGAAGATGTTGGAAGATCCTCAGGAACGGGAACATCGGGAACGCAGGGAGAGGATGGAGCGGGAGACCAATGGAAATGAGGATGAGGAAGGGCGGCAGAAGATCCGGGAAGAGAAGGATAAGAGCAAGGAACTGCATGCCATTAAGGAGCGTTACCTGGGTGGCATCAAAAAGCGGCGCCGAACGAGACATCTCAATGACCGAAAGTTTGTTTTTGAATGGGATGCATCTGAAGACACATCCATCGACTACAATCCCCTGTACAAAGAATGGCACCAGGTGCAGTTACTGGGGCGAGGCTTCATTGCAGGCATTGACCTCAAGCAGCAGAAACGAGAGCAGTCACGTTTCTATGGAGATCTAGTGGAGAAGAGACGAACCCTGGAAGAAAAGGAGCAGGAAGAGGCAAGACTCTGAAAACTTCGTAAGAAGGAAGCCAAGCAGCCCTGGGATGGTTGTCATTGGTCTCAGAAAAAGTTAGATGAGATGACGAACAGGGACTGGCGGATCTTCCGTGAGGACTACAGCACCACCACCAAAGGCAGCAAGATCCCCAATCCCATCCGATCTTGGAAAGATTCTTCTCTTCCCCCCCACATTTTGGATGTCATTGATAAGTGTGGCTATAAGGAACCCACACCTATCCAGCATCAGGCAATTCCCATTGGGCTACAGAATCGTGACATCATTGGTGTGGCTGAGACTGGCAGCGGCAAGTCAGCAGCCTTCCTCATCCCACTGCTGGTCTGGATCACCACACTTCCCAAAATTGACAGGATCGAAGAGTCAGACCAAGGCTCTTATGCCATCATCCTGGCTCCTACCCGTGAGTTGGCTCAACAGATTGAGGAAGAGACCATTAAGTTTGGGAAGCCACTAGGCATCCGCACTGTGGCTGTCATTGGTGGCATCTCCACAGAAGACCAGGGCTTCAGGCTGCACATGGGTTGTGAGATTGTGATCGCTACCCCTGGGCGTTTGATTGATGTGCTGGAGAACCACTACCTGTTGCTAAGCCGCTGTACCTATGTGGTTCTGGATGAGGCAGATAGGATGATTGACATGGGCTTTGAGCCAGATGTCCAGAAGATCCTGGTGCACATGCCTGTCAGCAACCAGAAACCAGACATGGATGAGGCTGAAGATCCTGAGAAGATGCTGGCCAGCTTTGAGTCAGGAAAACATAAGTACCGCCAAACAGTAATGTTCACGGCTACCATGCCCCCAACGGTGGAGCATCTGGCCAGGAGCTATCTTCGACAACCTGCTGTGGTGTACATTGGTTCCGCAGGCAAGCCCCATGAGCGTGTGGAACAGAAGGTCTTCCTCATGTCAGAGTCAGAAAAGAGGAAAAAGCTGCTGGCAATCTTGGAGCAAGGCTTTGACCCACCCATCATTATTTTTGTCAACCAGAAGAAGGGCTACGATGTGTTGGCCAAATCCCTGGAGAAGATGGGGTACAATGCTTGCACACTGCATGGTGGAAAAGGCCAGGAGCAGCGAGAATTTGCATTGTCCAACCTCAAGGCTGGGGCCAAGGATATTTTGGTGGCTACAGATGTGGCTGGTCATGGTATTGACATCCAAGATGTGTCTATGGTTGTCAACTATGATATGGCCAAAAATATTGAAGATTACAACCACCGCATTGGCCGCATGGGAGGAGCAGGCAAGAGTGGGGTGGCCATCACCTTCCTCACAAAAGAGGACTCTGCTGTGTTCTACAAGTTGAAGCAAGCCATCCTGGAAAGCCCAGTGTCTTCCTGTCCCCCCGAGCTAGCCAACCATCCAGATGCCCAGCATAAGCCAGGCACCATCCTCACCAAGAAGCGCCGTGAAGAGACCATATTTGCCTGACACAGCACTCTTCCCGTGGGCTGAGGGCAACTCCAAAGCTGCCTCTTGCCTCTTCAGAACCCTCACATCCCTCTTCCCAGGTCCTCACTCTTGGGTTTTGGGGGCTTACGAAAACAATCAGACTTCCTAGCCCAGAACCTCAGGTCAGGAGGCCTACGTGTGGGGCTGCGAAAGGAGAGGATGATGCTGTCGGAGGTGGGGAGAGCAAATTACTGCAGCTTTTTGGCCCACCTCTGCCCTTCTTTGCTTTGGGATTGCAGTGGGCCATCACCTCATAACAGGATATGGGGGCAGCCAGCCGGCATTGCTCCCCAGACTGAACGGAATCCTGGCTGCCTGAGCGACCTCCTTTGGCACAGACTTGACTGTATAACAATATAAACTGTGGCAGCATTGTTGCCCTAGATGCCCCAGGAGACCTGGCACCATGAGGATTATGGACAGTGGAATCTTGCTGTCATCTGGACAGCTGTTTTCCCATTTGGATTGTAAAGCAAGTCAAGAGCCTTTAGACATGTGCACAGCCATGCACCAAGGGGTGCTCTGTGCTCTGGGCATCCCTCCCCCAGGGTATTTTCTAAGTAGATGGGGGACAGGGTGAACTGGCTGTGTCCAGCTTTGTCACTGAGTGAAATCTCTGTTTTCTATTCTCTGAGAAGATAAGTTTGTATGTTCTGAGAATAAATACATGAATATTAAAAAAAATTGATATATATGCATACATATTAGAAAAAGAGAAAAAAAGATAGCAAAAGAGGGTGAAAGACATTTTAGAGAGGTATACAAACAGGTAAAACTATCAAAAATGATAGTTTTATATATATACTTATAAATAAGTATTGATTTTAATAAACATTTTTAACTTTTTCTGACTATGGTCTATTTTTCAATAACCATTATCATCAATAATGAAATTTTATTGAGTCATGATTTCCCAAAATAGAAATACTTTATCCAAGTATTTTAGATACTCCTAGACACTGTATCAATTTTTACACACTGAGTTTCCTATTTGTAAGTTGCTCTAAATATATATTGAGCTTATTTCCCTACTTTTAGATTCATCATATCATTAGTGACTTAATTTCTTTTATATAGTTTAATATTTTAAGATTCACTAAGATATAGAAAGGAGAGAAAAGACATAGTATCATTAGTATTGTTAAGTTGTCAACAGACTAAAAGAAAAAGGTGCATGTTTCTCTACTTCAAATTACATGATCTTATGAAAACTCTATACTCACACCTACCTATTCATTGAACTTTTAATGGGTTAGTTGCTAAATCACACCTCAGAATGTTTCTCTCATTTAATTATTCATTCAAAATACTTGAGAACATCTCCTATGTATCAGACACTATATTTTTTTGTGCTCAGGGTACAGAAATAAACAACATAGCCCTTAATCACATTGAACCCACAGTCTACAGGGAAAAAAGTAAAAAACAGTGATTATAATGTGGTTTGTTAACCATCTCATAAATGTATGCCCAGGTGCTGTGAAAGCAAAGGAAAGATCTGACTTACGAATTAGCCTATCATACCTGGGAAATTTTCTCTGAAGAGGTTGATTACTTTTGAGGTGAGTCCCGAAGTCCATGAAGAAGATTCTTCAGCAGGGAAGAGGGGTCAGAATGTTCCCTTAAGTAAACATAGAAGGCAGAAGGATGAAGCATTAAGTTAAAAAACTGAATATCAATTAGAGTGGCTTAAGTAGAGATTGCATATGGAACAGTAGAAAAGGGAGCAAGAAAAAGAGTCAGGAGATTTGGCTTGTTCAGTAAAGACATTTGACAATTATCCCAAAATCTAGAAACCACAGAAAAATTTTAAGGAAATCTGTATATTTATCTAACTGGAATCTTGACATGAATAATCTCAAAGTATGTGCTTTGACAAGAGATTCAGGCGTCAGATAAGGACACAAATGAATATGCTCTTACAATAACCAAAATGAGAAATGAGAAAGTAAGGTAGTTGTCGTGGGTAAAAGATTGCATGTGAAGAGGTGATTAAGAGGACCCTGACTGACATAGATAGACATAAGCATTCATTGATGATGAGGTTACAGGTGTAAAATAAAGGTAGAACATGTCTTCGGAATAGTATGTGATGGACTGTGCCTTTGAAATGTCAAGATGTTAGTGACCAACAAATCAAAGTAGGACACTCAGACCTGAATCTCAAGAGAAAGGTAGAGACAGATGTCTCAGAAAAGCAACATTATGTAAGTGATAGCATTTGGCTGAAGTCATGCAAGGAGACCAGGAAGAGTGAGAACAGATGCAAGGACAGTCTCATATTATTTTACTCAGAGAAGGAAACTTTAATCTATGAAAATTAAATTTTAGATTTTTAGAAGATATAAATTTATTTATTTTATAAATATAAAGAACTCAGATCTACACATTAAGCTGTGTGTGTGTGTATGTATTTGAGACAGAGTCTCACTCTGTCACCCAGGCTGGAGTGCAGTGGCACAATGTCAGCTTACTGCAACCTCTGCTTCCTGGGTTCAAGTGATTCTCCTGAATTAGCCTTCCAAGTAGATGAGACCACAGGTGCACACCACCATGCCCAGCTAATTTTTTTTTAATTGTATTTTTAGTAGAGATGAGATTTCACCATGTTGGCCAGGCTAGTCTCAAACTGACCTCAGGTGATCGGCCCATTTCAGCCTCTCAAAGTGCTGGGATTATAGACATGAGCCACTGCCCCTGGCTGTAATATCTTTCAATCTAATCTTCACATCGTGTTCAGTGCCAGGTTCATCTTGAAGCAAATGAAATTTACTTGCATAGATTCCTTCCAAGGTCCAGAAAAGGGCCATCAATGTGTTTATGACCAATGTGTTGACTTTTTAAAAGTTTGCAAAAGATATTTTAGCTGCAATGGGTTAAGAACACTGTCTTTTTTGCTATTCAACTCCTCTTGTTAGATGGCACAGCATATTTGGGAACAGTTGAGGATATAGCTAAGGAGAAGTTGAAGGTACATTTAGTTTGAGTTTAGTGGGAAATATTGTTGAGATTCAGTCACTTCTGTGCATAACTAGATGACTGCTACCTGTTTCAATATAGGAATGACTTCTAGAAATACTCTTCCACCTACTG